GTTATCAGTCCCATTTCTGAACATATGGAAACTGAGATTCAACTAAGCTTCAGAACTTGCCAAAGTTCCGTCTGTAAGTGGAAGAACTGGAACAGATGGAAAACGAATGAACAGATAAGAGAATAATATAATGAGTGAACTTCTGAGTGTCTTAATGAATCGGCAATAAATGATAAATGAATGGGTGAATTAATGAATTAAACTATAAGAGAATGAAGATTAATTGAATGATCTGATTAAATGATGACGGGATACATGAAAAACTAAAAGTTGAATGGGCAAATGAGGTAAACAAATGGTTAGTTGGGCAAGTGGATGGATGAATTGATGGATGAATTGATTGTCCAACAAAATGTTTCAGTGCCTGTCACGCGTCCACCAAGACACATGACATTGGACCTATGATTACAGGGTGACCGCAACACAGTCCCTCCTGGCTTCCTCATAATTTTCTGTCAAGTAAACAGCATAAACCTGCGTATGAATGGATGAGCGGATGTCTGAATGAACAGTAGATAAATGAATAATTATTTAAACATGGTATAAGGTTGGAATTGGCACATTAATGAGTGAATAGGCTGCTAAGTCTATAAATAAATGATTCATGGATGGACCTGGTGGCTCACGCCTGTAATCCCAGCATTTTGGGAGGCCAAGGTGGGTGGATTACCCACAGTCAGGAGTTCGAGACCAGTCTGGCCAATGCGACGAAACCCCGTTGCTACTAAGCATACAAAAAAAACCAAATTAGCTGGGCATGGTGGTGCATACCTGTAGTCCCAGCTACTCAGGAGGCTGAAGCAGCAGAACTGGATGAACCCAGAGGCAGAGGTTGCAGCGACAGTGTACCACTGCACTGCAGCCTGGGCGACAGAGCAAGACTTCATCTCTAAACACATCAATAAATGACTCAGGAGTTAATAAGATAATTATGAATTGATGAAAGAGCAAGCCAATGCCTGGGGCCAGACTGGATGAAGTGGGTCAGTGTATGGACGCCATGATCAGTGAGTGGTGGAGCAATGGTGGACAGCGAGATTCAGCTCTTCCACGTCATTTCTGAGATTCTGTCTGTCTCACCAGTCACTGAGAGACAGCAAAATCCCCCGCTACCCTTGTGTCTGTTTTCTTTTGTTTATTTGTTTTGAGACAGAGTTTTGCTCTTCTTGCCCAGGCTGGAGTGCAGTGGCTCGATCTCAGCTCACTGCAGCCTCCGCCTCCTGGGTTCAAGAAATTCTCCTGCCTCAGCCTCCTGAGTAGCTGGGATTACAGGTGTGTGCCAACATGCCCGTCTAATGCTGTATTTTTAGTAGAGACAGGGTTTCACCATGTTGGTCAGGTGGGTCTCGAACTCCCAACCTCAGGTTATCCGCCTGCCTTGGCCTCTTCCAAGTGCTGGGATTACAGGCATGAGCCACCACACCTGGCCTATTGAGTCTGTTTATTTCTACTTGTAGTTCTTTTTTTTTTTTTTTTTTTTTTTTTTGAGACGGAGTCTTGCTCTGTCGCCCAGGCTGGAGGGCAGTCTTGGCTCACTGCAGTTTTGGTTCACTGCAACCTCCACCTCCTGGGTTCAAGCAATTCTCCTGCCTCAGCTTCCCAAGTAGCTGGGACTACAGGTGAATGCCACCATGCCCAGCTAATTTTTTGTATTTTTAGTACAGACAGGGTTTCATCATGGTGGCCAGGCTGGTCTCAGTCTCTTGAGTTCGTTATCCCCCGCCCCTAGCCTCCCAAGTAGCTGAGATTACAGGCATGCGCCACCACGCCCAGCTAATTTTTTTGTATTTTTAGGAGATAGCGTTTCTCCATGTTGGTCAGGCTGGTCTCGAACTCCTGATCTCAGGTGATCTGCCGGCCTCAGCCTCCCAAAGTGCTGTGATTACAAGCGTGAGCCACCACACCTGGCCAAAAATCTGGTTTTAAAAATTGATTTAACTGCTTTGCTAAACTGAAGGGATTTTCAAGAGTGGCCTCATTTTCTGTTTAAAATTCCTCACCTCAGTACTTCTTAGAGGCGCACCCACAAATCCAGCTGTCTCAGAAGGACTTTTCTAAGAGGGTACATGTTAGACACTTACTGTTTAGAAGGAAAAGGGAAATTGTTCATGCCCTTCTTACATTATTTTTTTCCTCAAGTTGGATAAGGATTTAAGGGAGCATTGGGTTCAGCTCCTTCATGACCCCCAGATTCCCTTTCCTCTGGCCTTCCTGTGGCCCCCTGGTCTCCGTGTCCTCTACTTTGTGAGATATATTGTAGGGGGGCAAGTCAGGGGGTCCCAGGGCTTTTCATTGGGTGAGAGCTCTTTACTAGGCTTTTAATTTTTCTTTTTACGAGAAAACATGGGTGTTAATTTATCAATTCAACGCAGAGCTTGTTACAGCTGTGCTGTGTGCCTGCTCATCAAACTCCCAGTCTTGCAAAACCATCATTAAAAGTTTCACTTTCACTGTTCCCGGGTCTCTAAGTCCATTCTTTGGGTTTAAACACTTAAATTTCACACCCGGAAGGCGGAGGTTGCAGTGAGCTGAGATCGCGCCACTGCACTCCAGCTCCACTTCGGCTGTCCTGGGAGGTGTGAGGAGGTGTCCTAGGAGGTATGCAACACCTCCTCAGGTGTTTATCTGCCATCATTATATCCTCTTTGGTGAAATGTCTCTTCGTGTCCTTGCTCACTTTATGCCTAGACTATGTTTTATTTGCTGTTGAAAATTGAGTTGTTTATATGTTCTAGACACATGTCCCTTGTCAGATGCATGGTTTGCAAATGTTTGCTCCAGACTCTGACTTGTCTTTTCCTCTTGACAAGTCTTTTACAAAGCAAACGTTTAACATTTTGATGAGGTTTATCAATTTGTTTTTTTTTTATTTTTTGGATTGTGCTTTTTGTGTTATGTCCAAGAACTTTTCGCCAAGTCCTAGGCCCCAGAGATTTTCTCCTATGCGTTCTTCTAAAAGTTTTGTAGTTTTATATTTTACATTTAAATCGATAATCCACTTTGAGTTAATCTTTTATAGGGTGTGCAGTTCAGGTCCACACTAACCCCTTTGCCTATGGACGGCCAACACTCCAGCACCATGGAGTGCATGACACCCTGGCACCCAAGAGCTCCCCCAGCACCCCCAGCTGCTGCCCCTCTCAGCTCTCCGGGCCTCCATGCCCCATGCCGGACATCCCAGCACCCCTGACTCCCACTTGAACCTCTGGACACCTCACAGTCTCCTCAGCCACTCCCTAAGCCCACCGCCTCGGCCCTGCCGCTCTCTACCAACCCAGAAAGGACACTTTGCAGACAAGGAGAAAGAAGAGAGGGGCAAGACAGGCTCCCAGGCAGTACCCACAGGAGGAGAGTCGAGGGGTGGGTCCCTAGCTGGGCAAAGGCTCTGGCAGTGGTTGAGTGGAAGCATCTCCCAGGTGTCTGCGTGGGCCTGAGGCAGAACACAGGCTCCAGGCAGCACCTCCAGATTTTCGTGGGATGTGGGGTGAGGTTGGGAGTGGGTTGGGGGAACATAATGACTGAGAGGGACTGGGGTTCAAGTTAAGTTGATTTAAGTGAAACTACGGCAGGCGAAGTTCGTGGCCTGGTTTTCCAGCCACTGCTCCAACAGGCAGATCAATCCCAGGCCCAGGACAAGTCCAGGCATGGTGTCTCCGATCTAGCCCAGGGGAGACTCTATTTTATTCTCATTCTGTTACACAGGCTGAAGTGCAGTGGGGCAATCTCGGCTCACTGCAACCTCCGCTTCCAAGTTCAAGCAATTCTGCTTCAACCTCCCGAGTAGCTGGGATTACAGGCGCCCACCACCATGCTCAGTTAATTTTTGTATTTTCAGTAGAGGCAAGGTTTCACCATGTTGGCCAGGCTACTCTCAAAATCCTGAGCTCAAGTGATCCACCGCCTCTGCCAGCCAAAGTGCTGGGATTACAGGTGTGAGGGCATGAGCCACCATGCCCAACCACACTGTCATTTTTTTTTTTTTTTATTTAATGAGACAGAGTTTCGCTCTTGTTGCCCAGTCTGGAGTGCAGTGGCACAATCTCGGCTCACTGCAACCTCTGCCTCCCGGGTTCAAGCAATTCTCCTGCCTTAGCCTTCCAAGTAGCTGGGATTACAGGTGTGTGCCACCATGCCCGCTAATTTTGTATTTTTTGTAGAGATGGGGTTTCTCTATGTTGGTCAGGCTGGTCTTGAATTTCTGACCTCAGGTGATCCGACCGCCTCAGCCTCCCAAAGTGCTAGGATTACAGGCGTGAGCCACCCCACCCGGCCCAGATTGCCATTCCTAACACAGCCTAACTCCGTGGCTGGGCCACAGAGTTCCTACCTAGAGCCTTTTCTCTGGAAAACGGGAGTGCTGAGAGTGAGGGGTTGTATTCGTGGGCCCCGTGCTTCCCCCACCACCATGAGCTCTCTGCCAACCCTGGAGTCGCCAGCCTCAGTTTGTCCATCAGTAACACCACTTCCTCAGGCAAAGCATGGAAGGAAATGACATGAAATCCGACACCAAAGGCATTCACAAAATGGGAATGGCTTCTACCTTCATTGCAGACTGAGGAAGTCAGGAGTTCTGGGAAGGGAATGGGGCACGGAGGGGCTAACTCTAGCAGGGCCACTCAGGCTCCCGACAGCTTTCAGAGCCACCGTGGGTGGGGTGAGTCTTGCCCTGCCGGGGTGTGCACCTGCTAGTCTCATACCTGCCTGGCCCACACCTCCCGCGGCCCACATCTGCCCGGCCCACACCTGGACCCCACACCTCCTGGGGCCCACACCTGCTGGCTCACACCTCCTGGGGCCCACCTCCGCCCGGCCCACACCTGGAGCCCACACCTCCCAGGGCCCACACCTCCCAGAGTCCACACCTCCTGGGGCCCACGCCTGCCTGGCCCACACCTCCCGCAGCCCACATCTGCCCGGCCCACACCTGGAGCCTACACCTCCCAGGGCCCACACCTCCCGGGGCCCACACCTCCCGGGGCCCACACTTCCCAGGCCCACACCTGCTCAGGGGTGCTCCCGTCCTCTGCGTACACCCGTGGGTCTGCTCCGAGCTTCAGAAGCACCTCCACAGCTTCCAGGTGGCCCCCAAAGGCTGCGCGGTATAGCGGCGTCCGACCGAAGGCGCCCTGCAAGACGGGCTCCTGAGCAGGGTCCAGGCCTTGTCCGGGGGAAGGAGGGCCCCGCGGGCTCTGGACCGCGCCCCCCGCGCTCGCTTCGGCCTGCAGCCCACGGCGCCCACCTTGCTGTTGGGGCTGGCACCGAGCTCAGCCAGCAGCTGGATGGCCAGGGGCTGCCCGCCCGCGGCCGCCTCGGACAGCGGCGTGTTCCCGTTGCTGTCCTGGCACTCCACCAGGGCCACGCGTCGCTGCAGCCGCCGCGCGTTGCCCGCCTCGTCGTGGCCCACGCCCTCGCGGGTCAGCAGCTGCTCCACCTGCGCCGCCCGCAGCGGTCACCTCGCCTTGCTCCGCCCACGAGCCGCGCCCACGCCCCGCGCCCCCCTCCACGCGCCCCGCCCCCTCCCGCTCCCCCACCCCGGCCCCGCCCCTACCCACGCGCCTCGCTCCGCGCCCCGCCCCACCAGTCAGCCCCGCCCACGAGCCACGCCCCCACGAGCCACGCCCACCAGTCAGCCCCGCCCACGAGCCACGCCCCCCCCGCTCCCCGCCCCGGCCCCGGCCCTGCCGACCTCCTTCAGCACCGCCCGGATCTCGCTCAGGTCCCCGTCGAAGGCGGCATCCAGCAGGCGGCGGCGGCGCTGCAGCTCCTCCCGCCGCTCCCGCTGCGCCGCCTCCTCCTGCTCGCGCCGCCGCCGCGCGGCCTCCTGCTCCCGGCGCACCAGGGCCAGATAGGCCTGCAGGTTCCCGCCGCGCGCCCCGAGGTCACTGTCCACGCCTCGGAGGTCCCGGCCCAGCCTGGGCTCCACCCCGCACCCTGCCTCCTGCCCGGGCCCCGGGGGTCGCGACCGCCCGTCCTCACCTCCCTCTGCAGCTTCTCCATCTGCTCCAGGTACTCCCGGCGCTCCTCCCGGCGGCGGGCGAGCTCCCTCCTGGCCCGGAGCTGCCGGAAGGCGCCCTGGATCGCCCTGGCCGCTCGGTCCTCTGCGGCCGGCCCTGGGGAGGGGAGACGGCTCGTGGGGGCGCTTCTCGTCCCCAGCCACGCCTGCTGCGCCCCTGGGAGTGGAGCCGGCCCAGACCCCGCCCCCAGAAGGACCCAAACGGTTCCCAAAGCCGCCAGATGCCGCCGAGCGAATACGCGCCTGCAGAGGCCACACGAGGAGGCTGCGTGAAGGCCGGGGCGGAGAGGGGACCCAGGTCTGCGGGAACCCCCCGGGCCCCGCGCGCCTCCGGGGATCCTGTGAGCTCCGCCGAGCCCGCAGCTCCGCAGCTCAGGAGCCCCGAGGAACGGCGAGGAAGCAGCCCTGTCCCCCACAGGACTCGCCTCCCCTGAAAGCCGGAGGCCTCTCCTGCATCCAGGCCCCAGCGGGCAAAGGCTGGGCTGGCCGGGAGACCCCTGGCCTGGGAGGTCTCATCACAGCCCCACTGGACTCAGAAGAGGGCACGGAGTCCAGGGCCCCAGAGGGAGCACCATTCTCTCTGGACTCGGCCTCGCCCCCACCCCCGCCCCATGGCAGCTGCCACCGAGCTCTGAGCCGTAGCCTAGAGCCGCCTTGCAGGGAGGAAGGGGGCGGAGGAGAGGCCTTTGGGCCCAGCCCTGCCCTCGGCTGCCTCGTGAAGTCAGGGCACCATGCAGCCTCCCCGGGCCTCGGAGCTGTAACACGGAACGGTACTGGCAGCTTTCTAAGGGTCTAGTAATGGGCGCTTGGGGCGCCTCCCCCACAGTGAACGTCAGCGTGCGCCCAGTGGGTGTGACTTGTACCAGGGCACACAGGGTGCCGGGCGAGGCTGTCGGGCCACGCGGGCACCCAGCAGGGAGCCACAGCCGTGCAGGCCGCCACGGGAGCCCAGGCCAGAAGCAACCAGGCAGCTCAGCTGGGTCCACAGGTGATCCCGCTCGGCAGCCAAGGACTCTGATTCCCACAGCCAGGCTCCCAGGAGCATGGACAGGATGGCGGGATGAGGAGAGACCTAGAGGCCCAGAAGACCAGGGCACGGACCGGAGCCGCCAGAGGGGGCGGGGCGGAGAGTGGAGTGACGTGGGAGAATCACAGTGGATGACAGTAAAGGGAGAGCCGCCAGCAGCTGGGAGGGCGGGACAGAGCGGAGGTGGACAGAGATAATACAGTCCTGAGAATAACGTGTGTCTAGGACGCAGAGACCTCGGTGCAAATAAAGAGCAAACACTCAAGATAAAATCCAGGAAATCCTGAAAGCAATCTTAGGACAAAAGCGGCAAAAAGAAAAATATCAGAAAACAAAGGGCATGAACAACAGGCATCAGACGCAACTCGCTGAATTTGCGCCTCAAAACAAAACGTTTTTCAAGCCCGGAAGGAGAAAAGGCGAAGCGCCTGTGAGAGGAAAGTCCGGCTTTCCTGAGGCCTTTCTTTTCTTTTTGACACAGGATCTCACTCTATCACCCAGATGGAGCACAGTGGTGCAGTCTCTGCTCACTGCAGCTCCCACCTCCCGGGCTCAGGCAATTTTCCCACCTCAGCCTCCCCAGTAGCTGGGACCACAGGCACATGCCTGTGGACCACGCCCACCTCCCAAGGCCCTTTCCAGAAACACTAAGTGTTAGAAGAAAATGAAGCAGTGTCCACAAAATTCTGCAGGGAAAACAGTAGGCCAGGAACACTCTGGCTGTGCAACAGGGATGGTGAGAAGACTCTGTGGTTCTGCAGAGGAGACGGCGGGAGGAGTCCGTGGTTCTGCAGAGGAGACGGCGGGAGGAGTCCGTGGTTCTGCAGAGGAGACGGCGGGAGGAGTCCGTGGTTCTGCAGAGGAGACGG